TATAAATTAATACAATATAAGTGAAAAAAAAACCGTCTACAAAATAGTCTGGGAGTCTTGTGTTGTTGTATACATGTTTAATGTATTGTTTCATGTGCACTGGTCATCTGCATCAGTTCGGCTTGGTATTGATACACAGTCACAGCTGCAACGCAGATCAGCACCGCAGTATATGTGTGTGTCTGCAAACCACCCCACACACACCTCCACCCACCCACACACGGCAAAATCATCCATATAGTCCCAAACACACACACAGGCCTTCTAAGAGCTTAGTCCAGAGCAGCTCAGTTTCATACATTTTAATATCCAGACAGACAGGATCACATGCACACAGACAGATAGACAAGTAAACAGGAACAGTTTTAGCAGTACCATTACTGTGTACCATTTGTGTCCTACACAAAAATTACATTCAAAACCAGATGTTAAAAACTTTGTCTATACACATAACTGTTCAAAAGTTTAGGCTCAGTAATGCTGTTTAAAGAAGTCTCTTATGATCACCAAGGCAGCATCTATTGATTAAAAAGATATTTCAAGCTAAGTTTGTGTTTTCAATAGAAGTCCTAACATTACAGTTTGGGGTTGGAATGATTTTTAAATATTTATGAAAGAAGTCTCTTATGCTCAACAAAGCTGCATCTATTTGAAAACTTGTAAAATTAGTCATTTTGTGAAATATTATTAAAAATTAAAATGTAAAATAATTGTGTTCTATTTTAAAATATTTTAAAATGTAATTTATTCCTGTGAAGGCAATGCTGAATTAGCCAAACTCAGTCCTGGAGGGCCGGTGTCCTGCAGAGTTTAGCTCCAACTTGCCTAAACACACCTGCTGGTAAGTTTCTAGTATGCCTATAAGAGCTTGATTAGCTGGTTCAGGTGTGTTTAATTGGGGTTGGAGCTAAACTCTGCAGGACACCGGACCTCCAGGACCGAGTTTGGGCACCCCTGATCTAAAGAGTGTATGAAAACCTTGACAAATTAAAAAATAAATAAAGATAAAAATGAAAATATAAAATGAATCAATTATATTAAATAATTACATAATATTTAAATATTACATAATGTTAGATTTTAAAAAGTTTAACTAAAAATGAAATAATATATTTAAAAAAAATTAACATTAAAGGGATAGTTCACCCAAAAGGAAAAATTAGCCCTTGATTTACTCACACTCAAGCTATCCTAGGTGTATGTGTCTTTCTTCTTTCCGATGACTACAATTAGAGTTATATTAAAATATAATCGGAGTTATATTCGTGTAAGAAAAATATCCATATTTAAAACTTTATAAATCATAATCTCTAGCTTGCACCAACTGTCGTACATGCGGTCCAACATCATACACTAGAATGCCACTCTCTAGTGAACACGTGTACGATAGTTAGCAGAAGCTAGAGATTACAGTTTACAAAGTTTTAAATATGGATATTTTCTTACACAACGATTCGATTCAGAAGGCCTCTATTAACCCCCCAGAGCCGTGTGGAGTACTTTTATGATGGATGGATGCACTTTATTGGACTTCAAAATCTTAACACCCATTGACTGCCATTATAAAGCTTGGAAGAGCCAGGACATTTTTAAATATAACTCTGACTGTACTCGTCTGAAAGAAGAAAGTCATATACACCTAGGATGGCTTGAGGGTGAGTAAATCATGAAGCAATTTTCATTTTTGGGTGAACTATGCCGTTAAAAAAGTAAAAATCATCTGGATTTTTTTAGCCCACCTGCTGAATGTCTCCTTCTGTAAAAGGGAGTTTTGTAGAAACGTGAAACATGATTTCTCTCTGACGGAACGTAGTATAGACAGACTCCGATCCTGTCTGTCCATGAGACACATCCAGACCGCCTCTGAACCTGAGCAACACAATACCAGACACACCAGACAAATTAGTTCTGCAGAAACACCGCTTAGGCAGATCAGTCTGATTACCGCAAACAGGCTTCCAGTCAAAATCACTCACAATGAGTAAATTAAATAAATTATCCACAAATGGATTCTTTGAATATTGTTTAATATTAAAACAAGCCTTTTATGTGAGCACAGGTGAACCTTGGCAGCAGTTTTCAGTGCTTAATCTCCATCTCTCACCCACCTGCTGAATGTCTCCTTCTGTAAAAGGGAGTTTTGTAGAAACGTGAAACATGATTTCTCTCTGACGGAACGTAGTATAGACAGACTCCGATCCTGTCTGTCCATGAGACACATCCAGACCGCCTCTGAACCTGAGCAACACAATACCAGACACACCAGACAAATTAGTTCTGCAGAAACACCGCTTAGGCAGATCAGTCTGATTACCGCAAACAGGCTTCCAGTCAAAATCACTCACAATGAGTAAAATAAATTATCCACAAATGGATTCTTTGAATATTGTTTAATATTAAAACAAGCCTTTTATGTGAGCACAGGTGAATATTGGCAGCAGTTTTCAGTGCTTAATCTCCATCTCTCACCCTTTAAAATCCTGCAGTTCAATATTGTCTCCTAAAACACTGAGGAATTCAGTAAAGGCTGGCGTCTCCTCATTGTTCCCGAACAGCTCTTCCTCTGTTGTCTGATGTGAAGAGACAATACCAGTGGGAAACGAAGAAAAAGAGCGAGAACTTCAGTCAAAGTATGTACAATGAAGACAACAACTCAAGACTGACTCACCTGACCAAACTTCTGATAGATGACTCCAAACTTGAAAGTGTTGTTCACTTCGTGCTCATCAAAACTGACGATCAGTTGCGAGGCCTTGGGCAAGAGAAAACAGAAAGTGAGAGAAAGCGCCCACAGGGGTAAATATGTGTGTCAGTGCCTTTCCATAATTCAGGCGTTTGTGTTTGCCATGCCTGACAGACCATGCACAGCCTTGAGATGGTCAAGGCTTCTCTCAAACACACTATGTAGTTCAGGCATGCCAGGCAGTGTAAAGCAGATGGATTTGTGACTCCCCTGGAGCACAGGAACATATTAATTCAGATGACTTGGGTACTAGGGTGAGACGGAGCAAAGCCCAGCCCAATTTCACCCTGCTGCCTTGAGTAGGTAAGTCACAGATGGAGTGAAAAAGACAGCAATTCTCACCCTAGGGTAGAGGACGGGGTTGAACTTCAGACCTGTGACGTCATCGCACAGCAGCTGAAACACACAGGACACATCTGATGTGAACATCTCGCATCTTTTGAGTGGATTGAGGGAAGTTCAAAAGAGGTCTGCTAAGTCTTGAGAGACTTTGTGAGAGAGATTTTTTGAGAATGTGTGTCCTTATACAATTTAAAAGGTTGACTCCAGACCTACATAATGTAATTGTAGTCTATTAAGATGCCTTCATCTGACCAATTTTTTAATCCCAGTAGCCTTCACTGCCTATGATATCCCACAATTCTATGGGTTTTGGTGGTTGGTTGAAAGAATTCAAATTTATAACTACCATTCAAAAGTTTGGGACCAGTATGTTTTTTTTTAAGATATTAATATTTTTATTCAGTAAGGATGCATTAAAATTATCAAAGTGATAATTTTGTACAAAACCCCCCCCTGAGATTTAATTGTTTAAATAAAATCTGTTCAACTTTCTATTCATTGAAGAATCCTGAAATAATGGTCTCCACAAAAAAATTAAGCACCACAACTTAAATTAACCGTGATAATAATAATGTTATTTGAGCACCAATTCAGCATATTAGAATGATTTATGAAGGATCATGTGACACTGAAGACTGGAGTAATGACTGATGAAAATTCAGCTTCATCATCACATGAATAAATTACATTTTAAAATATATTACAATAAAAAAACTGTAATAATATTTCACAATATTACTGTATTTTGATCACATAAATGTAGCCATGGTGAGCATAAGAGACGTCTTTCAAAAACGATTAAAAACTTGCCGACTACAAACTTTTGAACAGTAGTGTATAAAGAATTTTCTTTTCTATTAATTTTTTCTTTGGATGTGCAAAGCTCATTTGAACTTGATTTTTAGACATGACATCGGCTTAGAAGTGACTGACTTAATATTATCAAGTCAATGGAACAATCTAAAAGACGGCTTTGACCACTGCAACGTTTCCATTTGTGTTATTTAATTGCTTTGAAGACATTTATCTGGTGCTGTATACCTTGCCAGTACACACCTTGGCTATCTGTGGTACACTTGGTAGCTGGAGGAGGCCTTCAAGTGGGATTCGCTCATGAAGGGTCTTTGTTTTTGACCTAGAAAATGACATAAAAATAAATGCTCAGCTATTTACTATGACAATATAGGCCTATCTTGCAGTGACTATTCCAGAGTTTCAATATGTGCTGGATATGGCACCTGAGCATGATGCGGAGAGACTCCTGTCCATCTGCCTCCTCATACTTCAGAGACATGATGAGGTGTCCCATACTACTGGCTGTGCAGTAATAGTTCATGTGCTCCTGAGAAAGAGAAAGGTGTTTACACAGGCGTCATTTCACAGGTTTGTTCCTCACATATTTCAATATGGAGAGTTTCATTTTCCAGTAGACTGGGTTTGCATTTTTATAACTCAAGTGTGGCTCTGTGTCGTTCCAGTCAAGCTCTCTGTGACACACAACTGATACAAAAAAGTGCCGTACAAAATGTTTGTTAAAAGAGGCGCCATCACACCTAATATCAAAGTGTTATTAAGAACTGTGAGTAATAAGCTACTGGCACATGGAATATTACCTCAGACAGGACACTTACTTTCAGCTAAAAGGGCATTTACTGGCATTTTGTGGCCGTGGTGAGAAAAAAAAACATTATAATACATGGGTGTTTCTTCAGCTATGGCTACATTTGGCCCTGTGAACTTACAGTGTAGAAATTAAACATACTGTCGGCATTAACAAATGAATCCTCACATTGCCCAGAAAGTGTTTGCGATAAGCCTGTGAGATGCTGTTACACTCCAGCCTGTAGCTGAAGCCTCCTTCTCCACCAGGGCTCAGACCATCATCTTCCTCCTCACAGAAGCTGCTGTCTGAGGACGTGGGCGTTCCAACCGGAGCCTCGGGATCCTCAATCCAATATCCACCAAACTGAGGTAAAATGACCTGAGGGTAGGGAAAACCCTTCTCCAAGACCTAGCCAACATATATCAACAAATAAAAGTTATATTGGTTTCAATTATATAACTCAATAAAATCATTCACAAACCCTGCAGATCAGCAACTCATGTACTTGTATGATTATGTAAATATATCTTATTATTATTATATAAATATACACTACTGCTCAAAAGTTTGGGTTAAGTGAGATTTTATTAATTTTTTTGAAAGAAGTCTCTAATGCTCACCAAGATTGTATTTATTTGATCAAAAACACAGCAAAAACAGGAATATTATGAAATATAAAATTTTTATAAAAGTTTTTTATTCTGGTGTATTTTGCATAATACATAAAATCATAGTTCAAAGAATAGCCTTTATTTAAAACAGAAATCTTGTGTAACATTACAAATGTCTATATGAAAAATATTTTAATCAAAGTTTCATTACATTTATAGCATTAACTGTTAACAATAGCAGTGTTGAAGTTATTAATGAAAGCTAATGGCTACCTATAAAATTATGGAAAAATAAATAGCAAAGTATATGAGATTTTTTGCCAGGGACAACAGCTTAGCAATCATTATCAAACATACATGCATTGATTAACCAATCAAAATCAAGTATTCCAGAGAGCCGTGTGATAAATAGAGACAATCTGTTCCTTCCAACCTTAAAACACTTGAACATAATGAAAACTCTCTTGTGCTAAATTACAAAAGAGTATAGAGTACATAGAACTAGGCTTGATTTTATGTTTAATTTGAACTGTTGTGTGTTTATAAGTGTGTGTCTGTGTGTGTGTTTTCGTGGACTCACATCCTCAATCCGGGGGTAAGGGATGTAGTCATCCTGTAGGAGAGAAAAATACATTTGATAATAGGATAACACAGGAAAGTCAAATTCCACAGGCCACAATCAACAACCTGATCAACTCTATGCAAAGGAGATGTGTTGCACTGCGTGAGGCAAATGGTGGTCACACCAGATACTGACTGGTTTTCGGGACCCCCTGGACCCCCAATACAGTAAAACTGCACATTTTAGAGTGGCCTTTTATTGTGGCCAGCCTAAGGCACACCTGTGCAATAATCATGCTGTCTAATCAGCATCTTGATATGCCACACCTGTGAGGTGGATGGATTATCTTGGCAAAGGAGACGTGCTCACTAACACAGATTTAGACAGATTTGTGAACAATATTTGAGAAAAATAGGCCTTTTGTGTACATAGAAAAAGTCTTAGATCTTTGAGTTCAGCACATGAAAAATGGGGGCAAAAACAAAAGTGTTGCGTTTATAATTTTGTTCAGTGTATCACAGTGTGTTTATTGCAATGAAAAATCCCAAGAGCAGGATAGAGGAATAATATCTACACCAGAATAGGACTGATAAAAAAAATCAAAATAACGGCAGCAGCAAGAAAATAAAGGTATCTGATTATTCTCAGCTTGCATTCCAATAATCATATATAAAGGTTTTTTAGTCTGCTTTTGGACTCTCTGGCATCATCTGAAGGCCATCATCACTGACCTTTACATCACTAAATGTAAAAAGTATGTCTGATTGATTGATGTTGATTGATGCTGTAGAACTCAAGACTGTGGCTGATGTTTGTCAGAATATTAATGAAGAAGAAAAGACCCCACTCACAAACATGCACTTACAGACACAATATACGCATACACGCATTCAGAATACCAGCCAAACCTTGTATTTCTTAGTCTCCTCGGTTTTGGGACTCTGCCATGTCCAGGTAAGCAGAAGAGAGTGAAAAGAGGAAGAATAAATGACAAACTAGAACATTAAACCCTGGTAGTCAAATGAGCTCCCCAAATAAAGAAGTTTTGTTTACAGTCAATAAAGTCTTCTGAACCTGTTCTTTTTTATATTTTAAATTGTTTTAATTTTTTTAATTTTTTATGACTATGGTGGCTAATATCATGTTATTTTGTCAAAAACTGTGGTTACCATGATAAATTGTAAATTTATCATAAAAATATTTAATATTTTATATTGTAAATGTTTAAAAATTTTTGGGACTCTGCCATGTCCAGGTAAGCAGAAGAGAGTGAAAAGAGGAAGAATAAATGACAAACTAGAACATTAAACCCTGGTAGTCAAATGAGCTCCCCAAATAAAGAAGTTTTGTTTACAGTCAATAAAGTCTTCTGAACCTGTTCTTTTTTTATATTTTAAATTTTTTTAATTTTTTAAATTTTTTATGACTATGGTGGCTAATATCATGTTATTTTGTCAAAAACTGTGGTTACCATGATAAATTGTAAATTTATCATAAAAATATTTTATATTTTATATTGTAAATGTTTAAAAATATGAATATTTTTGAGGCAGAATCTCTTGTTCACTTGGAAACATTTATAACAATAATATTACTGGATAACACTGTATGTACGTCAATCTCTTTATTTTAGATGTTAAGTACAGAGACTGTCCTACATGACATTATTCAAATTAAACAGATAATGTACATAATAGCATTTAGACATATAAATATATATATTTTTATATATTTTAAATATAAATATATATATTTTAAATAAAAATAAATGGTATGTAAGCTAATAAAATAAATTGCATTAACACTGTAAATACATGTATTTTATTTATTTAATATTTAAATTAATATTTTTAATTAATTTAAATATAAATGTAAATTAATTTCTAGTTTTTAATAAAACTCATTCTAAATAAAAAATTCTAAATCAAATCAAATTTAATATATTATGTCAAATTAAAAATATGTTTTATCAGATTTTATCCCTGTGCAATTCTTAAAAGTTTGTGGGATTGTTCTGAAAAAGATAATAGGCAAGGCCCAATTCCCTGCCCTGGGCACTGTACATGCTACAGAACTAGGGCGCTGACTAGACACACCTTCACACCATCATCTTTGAAGAAAAACATCACAAGTGCATGTGATCTATTGGAGAGAGAGAGGAGCCCTTCAGACAAACCTCTGCATCGATCTGTCACTCATACTGAGGTCTGCACTAGAAGCTTTAAATCCACCCGACTGAGGTACTGCACTCCTGCCTCAACACAGTATTGATAAGCTGATCTTTAGCCCTCATCTACACACTCTCACAGACAACAACACCATCATGCTGCTGTTATATAATAGGTCAGTATGTCCTGCTCCCAGTCTCTCGCCCCTGTGGGGCTCCTACCAAACCCCAACCCAAAGACCCACCACAGAGAAAAGTGCTGGCTATATCAATGACTTTGAAATGAGCTGGAATGTGTAATTATTCATTCATAGTAATGGATGACTGGTCACTGGAGAGAGAACACTTAGACAGCACTCAGGGGCAAAAAAAAACATGCAGTGATTATTATATTATTATACAGTAAAATACTCTTTAGCTAAAGTACAAAGTTATTTGAGGAATACTGTTATTAGAGGAATCTTATTCTAAAGAAGGACATGCACTTATAAGATCATCTGAATGATGGAAGGAATCTTACCTGCATCTTTTCCAGCATGTCGAAGAACTCTGCCGACTAGAAAAGAAACATAAATTGAGATTTGTGGTTTTGTGGTGATATTTACATCAAACCACTTTTTAAAATCATTATCTGGAAATTTTAGAATCAACTTATTTTTACTTATTACTATTTTCTATATTGTAAAATAATAATAAAGGCATCAAAACTTGTACCATTGTTAAAATTATGACCAATACTAAGAATTCAATAATTATTTTCATTTTATGGTTGATAACAGATAAATGGCAGATTAAAATTCTATAAATTTTTTCTACATAAATAATAAAAAAGCACACCAAAACCAAAATCATTAGATTGTTTTAAATGCTACAGATTAAAATGAGCATCAAAACATATGAAAATGTGGATATTTACTTTGAGATTTGGAATATTACATTTAATTGTTAGTTATTGAATGATTAGATTTAAAGATTAACATTAAGTGAACACTAACAAGATAATCTACAAGTAAAAATGGGTAAAATGAGCATGCTCAATTGCATGTAAGAAAAAATATATTAAAAATATAAAATAAAATACACAATAAAATAACAATAATTTTTTTTACAGCTATTAGAAAAACTAAATTACTAAATTACTTTAAAAATACTAAAATATACTTTTAAAATGCTCAACTTTAAACTTTAAAAATACAAAAATATACTAAATGACTTTAGTATTATTTTGAAAACAAAGCAAATCTTACATTTCAGTCTTATATTTCATTTCATTTTCCCCTTTGTCTAGATTCCAGCTCTCCTCACTCTAGACATTCCCTCAGTGAACATGAGGTGCATTCTGGGATGCATTTTAAAACATATTAAAGACGTGCCACTGTATAGTGGACTCTCAAGCCTACACACCCAACTCCTACAGTCTGATCATATCTAAAACCAAGTCAACAACTACAGACTTCTCCACAATCCACTGCACATTTGTAGCGCTATATCATAAATATGGAATGTGATATGGGTCAAGATATGCTCAATGCATTGTGAATGACATCAAATGACTCTTTCTCGATGCAGACTTAACAAACCATAATACTTCCTCACTCTAAATCAAACTTACTGAACCTTTACAGCTGCATTTAATTTATGGGCTGTGCAACCATTAGGGCTTAATTATTAGTTATTTAAGAAATGCAATAGAGGTTTAAAGCACAATTTGTAGTCTAGACCTGAAGGGCTTATAATAAAACAACTCTCAACTATTCTTGATAACTTTGCACAATATTTCTACTACACGCAGAGTCTCTTACCTTGACAAAGCACCCCTGCTATAGTTAAGAGGCAGTCGACCAGAAAAACATCTGATATTTGTTCCAAATAGATCCCCTGGGTTTAAGGATATTCCTATGATCGGACAGAGTGTAACAGATGCAAGTGCAAAACCAGATTGGTTAATGTTTAACCTGTCATGGATCCAAGGGCAACTCACTTCACAAAGTCAACAGACTAAAGCCCAGCTAAGCCATATTTGCCCAAATTACCTCGAGGAACTGAGACCACAACATCAATAGGACACATGAGGGTAACTCCTTAAAGGGTAACTCCTTAAACTCCTACTGAAGAGGAACACATAGTAGAAGGAACAAGGCGAATGGATGTGTATATTTTTGGAAAGGCTTTTGCAATGCAATGACCTTTTGACCTTTTTTGATTATATATTGAATATTGACAAATCTCACATGAGTCAGCAGTCAAGTGCCTGAAGGTGTTTGCGCGAGCACATAAAATCAAATCAAATATAAAATCATAAGAGCTACATGATAAAAAATTTACATAGTCTTAAATTATGCCTGCAGTGTCATAGTAAGGTTATAAAGAGATGGAGCACATCCCCCACCACAACCTTTTAGTTCCATTGTTGTCTCAGACAAGATTAGCATCCTATCCTGGATTTTTGCAGCTCCAACCAAATTACAGTGAAGCACACAATACATCAAAATATTCTGTTGTAGACATAAAAAGTCCCTGATATTAGATAAAAACTAAAAAATATATAATAATAATAATAATCAAAGTTGTAAATAAAACAAATATTAGATCATATCTAAAACCAAGTCAACAACTACAGACTTCTCCACAATCCACTGCACATTTGTAGCGCTATATCATAAATATGGAATGTGATATGGGTCAAGATATGCTCAATGCATTGTGAATGACATCAAATGACTCTTTCTCGATGCAGACTTAACAAACCATAATACTTCCTCACTCTAAATCAAACTTACTGAACCTTTACAGCTGCATTTAATTTATGGGCTGTGCAACCATTAGGGCTTAATTATTAGTTATTTAAGAAATGCAATAGAGGTTTAAAGCACAATTTGTAGTCTAGACCTGAAGGGCTTATAATAAAACAACTCTCAACTATTCTTGATAACTTTGCACAATATTTCTACTACACGCAGAGTCTCTTACCTTGACAAAGCACCCCTGCTATAGTTAAGAGGCAGTCGACCAGAAAAACATCTGATATTTGTTCCAAATAGATCCCCTGGGTTTAAGGATATTCCTATGATCGGACAGAGTGTAACAGATGCAAGTGCAAAACCAGATTGGTTAATGTTTAACCTGTCATGGATCCAAGGGCAACTCACTTCACAAAGTCAACAGACTAAAGCCCAGCTAAGCCATATTTGCCCAAATTACCTCGAGGAACTGAGACCACAACATCAATAGGACACATGAGGGTAACTCCTTAAAGGGTAACTCCTTAAACTCCTACTGAAGAGGAACACATAGTAGAAGGAACAAGGCGAATGGATGTGTATATTTTTGGAAAGGCTTTTGCAATGCAATGACCTTTTGACCTTTTTTGATTATATATTGAATATTGACAAATCTCACATGAGTCAGCAGTCAAGTGCCTGAAGGTGTTTGCGCGAGCACATAAAATCAAATCAAATATAAAATCATAAGAGCTACATGATAAAAAATTTACATAGTCTTAAATTATGCCTGCAGTGTCATAGTAAGGTTATAAAGAGATGGAGCACATCCCCCACCACAGCCTTTTAGTTCCATTGTTGTCTCAGACAAGATTAGCATCCTATCCTGGATTTTTGCAGCTCCAACCAAATTACAGTGAAGCACACAATACATCAAAATATTCTGTTGTAGACATAAAAAGTCCCTGATATTAGATAAAAACACCATCACTGTAAAAAAAAAATATATAATAATAATAATAATCAAAGTTGTAAATAAAACAAATATTATTGGAGCATGTTTTACAAGAAAATACTATTTCAATCTTTCTACTTCAAATTTCACATTTAATTCAATCTGTTCATTGCTGTTTCTTTGTAATTATTTGTGAAATTTCTGAGTGAAAATATTAAGTATTACAGTAACTATCAAGTTAATTTCTACATATACTAATACATTTGAACATTTCTAGTTACACAAGTTAACATTACACCAGAAATGAACAATGAACAATAGTATATTTTTTTTAAAAAAGGCAAAAATCCTAAAATGGAAGTGAATGGGGCCAATCTGTAAACATTAAAATACTTTTTCAATAGTATAGCCACAAGGCATGAAAAGCATGTGTATTAACATGATTTTAGTGTGGGGAAAAATAATCACTTTTCTGAGTAAAATTATATTAAATTTTACAACTTTGATGGCATGACAACACACTCTTAAAACACTAAAATGTCAGCTGAAATGAGAAGAAAAACTCAAATAATACACACACGTTGACAGAAGAATTCATGTAAGTGCTTTTATAAAATTATAAGCCTCATATTTTTGCTTTTAAATCATCCACATATTAGCCCATTTACTTTCATTGTAAATGACTCACTGTAACATCTATTTTTGATCTATTTTGAGGAACATGTTGAAATATTTTTTGTGGCAATCAACATTATGCACAAATGCTGACAATTGAGCTTAACTTGTATCCAAAATAGTCCTTTAATATAACTTGGATTAATACATGCTGTAAAAAATGCTGTTTATTGTTAGTTCATTATAATAAATAGTAAATGTTAACAAATTGAACCCTACTGTAAAATGCTGCCATTTCTTTAATATAAACACTTTAAACTATTACTATTTACTTGAATATGCAAGTAGTTATAGGTATAAAGAGACACAGATATAGAGGCAGTGGGTAATAAAATGTGCAGCTGGGACTCTGTCCAGAACTGGCTGATAAACTGAAATAACATAAAGACTCAGACGTACTAGAATGAATGAATGAACTGCAGTGGTCTGTGCTGTGTCAAATACACATTAACAAGCCTCATCAATACCCCCATCCTGCAATAAACACACAGCGAATCTAATTCCTCACACATTCTGTTTCCCCCCATCACACCGGCGATCATACCTCTCTCCTCTGATCAGCTGTGCTCCTCTATGCACAAAACAGGAAGAGGACTAAGTCTGCTTGGCACTGTTTTCTAGCTCTACACCCTAAAACTGGTCTTACCAGTATGTCTGTACTGAGTTTTTCTGCATTGTGTTTGATCTACAGCTGTTCGAACCACAGTTCACAAGAGCTTATCAAGTCTGCACACTTGCTTTCCTCCCTTTCCTCTTTTCTTCTTTAGACACTGGGTTTACATTGGGAGTGGCCACCAACTGTTTGAACAACACATAATTACATATCTTAAAGGACAAGTACACATACCGATTAATATGTCCTTACTAAATGTATTGTGTTTACTCTCAAACACAGTTGTTAATGAAGTATTTGCACATTGTGGGAGTGTTTTGAGTGGGTGTGTGTTTGTGTGCAAGGTTTTGGCTACAATGTTTGGACCAAATGTCCCCACAAGAATAGTTAAACCTGAAGTGAGGTACAGTACATTGTGTTGTGTTAACGAGTGTTCTGCAGACATTTAATTGCAATATTTAAAGTGACTCTGTGTAGTCTAAGGACAAAGTTTGAACTGAAAACTTGTTATGTGAGTTTTTCAATAACAAATTTATTTTGGGATTTGTACAATACAAACTTATATTAGATATACACATTTTTTGTAAGTTTATGTGGTGCTAACTGTCTGTTTTTATTCATATATATACAGTATATATATATACTACTGTTAAAAAATTTGGGGTCGGTAAAAACATTTTTAAATGTTTTTTTTAAGAGAAGCATCTTAGGCGCACCAAAAGTTCATTTATTTGATCAAAAATGCACAGTAAAAACAACAATATTGTGAAATATTATTTCCATTTAAAATAACTGTTTTACATTATAATATATTTTTAAAAGTTATTTATTTCTGTGATGGCAAAGCTGAATTTTCAGCAGCATTATTCCAGTCTTCAGTGTCACATGATCCTTCAGAAATCTTTCTAATATGCTGATTTGGAATAAAAATATTTAGTATTATTTTCAATGTTGAAAACAGTTGTGCTGCTTACAATATTTGTGGAAATGGTGATACAGAAAGTTGAAAGAACAGCATTTATTTGTAATAATTTTTGTAACATTATAAATGTCTTTACTGTTCATTTTGATCATTGTTATGTTTCGTTGTGAAATAAGTTCTTAAAAAAATACTTTACTGAATTTACAACAGCTGCTCACAAGAAAGGCACATCCTATTTAAGCTATTTATAAATCCTCAAATCCTCCAACAACAGGTAATAACTAAGCAAAAGCCTGGAGACCTTAATAGATTTCAAGTATGATTTTTCAACAAGTGCTCTGTGCCTCAGACATTTAATCAGCCCTTATGAGAAACAATTTTCATAATTAAAGCACTGGCTAACAGGATCATGACCTCTGGGTTCGACTTCATGTCTTCTCATCTTAATATCACACCTGATGCCTCGGCCTCACACCCTCCCCCTCCATGCATAAATACTAATCTCTCCCTCCTCTGATTTTTCGGCAAGTGTGTCTCTTTTCAAGGTGACACCGACTGCTCACGCCACACAATCCATCTCTGAACTCAGTGTACCACTTTTAAATAAGACAGAAAATCTTTCCAGTCCCTCTCGAGGCTGTTTCAAATATAAAGAGATAGCGATACCATGTGAACTCAGTGGGACCTTAATGCTCTGAAGAAAATGGATTTCTCAGTCCTAATGAATTACCATTACATTTAGAGGTAACCTTGAATGAAGAGCTTTACCTCAAACACACCTTTTCAAGGTGACACCGACTGCTCACGCCACACAATCCATCTCTGAACTCAGTGTACCACTTTTAAACAAGACAGAAAATCTTTCCAGTCCCTCTCGAGGCTGTTTCAAATATAAAGAGATAGCGATACCATGTGAACTCAGTGGGACCTTAATGCTCTGAAGAAAATGGATTTCTCAGTCCTAATGAATTACCATTACATTTAGAGGTAACCTTGAATGAAGAGCTTTACCTCAAACACACTGCATGAACCTTCACAGACAGTACCGCAGGTTAATATGCATGTCTAAATCAGTTTGAGGCATTATGTAAGAGCATGCTGACACTTTTGTAGTGAAAGGAGGGTCATTTTATATGGCATGCTACAAAGGGCATTCTCACTTTCTCATGCTATCACAGCTAATAGAGGTTAATTCAGTACAAAGGTGTGCCTGGGAGATGAATGCAGCAGATTTCAGCTAACAGCAGCTAATAGAGAGGTGTTTGTGCGTGTGTGTGTGATTGCGTGGCCAGAACACTCACCTTCATGGTGGGTGGTGCAGTGCGGGGAGGTGAGGGTGGACATTCTCCCAGAGGCACACTGGAGATGGTCAGCAGCTCTTGTTTCCTGCAAAACACACACACACACACACACACACACACACAGTTAGCCAGGCAAATGGTCAGCAGTCATTACAGTAGAAGTCATGGTAGAAGTCATTAAATATTTCTATAATTTATCTATCAGGAGACCTTGCATTGACAATTGCTTTTTTTACTTAGCATGTTTGTGTAAATAAGTTTCACCACAATAAAAAAATAATTTTTTAAGGAAACATATAGTTTAAAGAAAAAATATACTTTAGAAGACATGTCCCAAGTTCTTAGAAATGCACTCTCTTATGTAGGTTTAATATGGTAAAAAAACTTTTCTACCTTTTTTCTGCATTTGGTTGCACCAAATTACTTTAATATTGCAGACAAACATTGTATTTTAAATATTAATGCAGTGTTAAAACATTTTCCCCAAATAAATAAATAAATACATACATATAATCTACATTTTGAGATTGCCTAATAAACATATTAAATAATTAATAAAAATATATATATATAAATATATGTGATACTCTTTTTTTTTTCTTTTCAAAATGTAATGTCATTAGACATAAGGTTTATCCATACAAAGACTTGACATTTTCTATGATGAACATGTTTTTTTTTGTAAAAAAAAAAATCTCATGGGATGTAAAGTCAGAAATAGGAAATACCATAATCAAGAAATAAAATCCTAACTGAACACAACAACAATAATAATAAAGCAATAAGTTAATTATTTGTAGTATTATTTATGGATTTTCAAATAAATTGAGAAACAGATTGCAAGAAAAAAATAAGTGTCACATGACCCATTAACATTTTCGTTAATCATCTAATACTCTATGTTTAGTAAGCAGGTCTCAAAATATAGAATATTTCAGAGATTTGGTTCCCTTAAAATAACACAGGCAGATCAACACACATTTTTAACTGAAGACCAAGATATGGTAGTTTTGCACTAAAACAAAAGACTAGTCCTCAGACGTAGATGTACACAAACATGCACACACAAGGGCAGAGGGTCAGTGCAGTACCCTTTGAAAAAAAAGAACATGGCCTCCAGAGACTAAGGTGAAAGACTACAGGATAGAAAAACTCAATAACAACAATTATTTTGTTTGCTTCGGTATCTGCACAGAGACATAACAAGAACTACTAAGGGCAGCCAGCCCTGCAGACACACTGCTGTAGGTGCTGCTGTAAAAAAAGACATAGAGAGGAGAGGGGTAAAGGAGGGGGGACGAAGCATAAAGTAAGGTGTAAAGCTCCAAGCAGGAACATGATCGCATTTTAAAAGCAGTTCTTTCAGCCAAAGACAAATGAGAGAGAGGCTACTTGGAATCAGAGGTTAAAATTAGTCAGGCAGACAAACTCTGGTCTAGAAATGAAGATCCTTGCAGACCGTCTCAAGTGAGGGTCCATTAAAATCTTTCCTTACATTACACCTCTGAGGGTCATTGAACTCCAAAAAGATTGAACAATTGAACACAGGAAGATCTCACAATACATATATGAGGCTGTGAAGGTTTCAGTGAAAGATAAAAGAGAGTCATTTCAATCTGACAAGATGGAACCAATTACATATTTACTGACAATATTTATACATAATATTTAGTATTTATATCAAAATAATACCACAATAAACATGCCATGCCAACCACGCTGTGTGTTCTGTGGAGTAATATGCATTTGCAAAGGTTTTGACTCTGGAGACCAGGGCCATCCTTAGGGGGGAGCAACTGGTGCGGTCGCACCAGGCCCCGTGGCGAACGGACTGAGGGGGACCGTAAAACAACCCTCTAACTTAATTATCAATATTACACAAATAGTAAAAGCCATTTTCTCATCTGATTAAAGACAAAAATCATTTAAATGTGAAGCTGTTCTTGGACATAAATAAATAATAAAAAATATATAAGACAACCATGCAAAAACGTTTGTTTATTCAGTACAAACAGGTGTTTACTATTCTACATCTTATAATTCCAAGTGTCAGAACGCTAACATTATTAACCCCCACATTTTAGTATTTACCACGTTACTGCAGACTGTTTGGGAAAGTGAATGTGCCTTTAATCTCTGAAACAACAGGAAGAAACGTAACATAATGATTTCTATTTTAAGCAGTGCTGGTGCATCACGGCTGAATAACACAACTATGCACAAACTCTATGGAGCTTTCAACATACATTAACGAATTTCAATATATACATTATATATATATATATATATATATATAGGCCTATAATTATAATTTAATACTTAAATGAACGGAGACGTGGTCTGCAGCCTGCAAAATCGTGCTTCTCCTGTTTGAGCTGTGAAATTGACAGCACTCTAATCCAATTGCGTTGTAAATACAGGAAATAATTGGCAGCGAACCAGACAGTGAGTAGGTATGTTCTACTTCAAGTGGCGCTACGCTGCTAATTAGCGCATGACTTCAGCGGCAGCGCGTGAGATTTTAAATGCACCTGAATTGCTCCCGCACCACAGATATTATATTCTGATCAATCTGCGCTGTTGGGGGGGCACAAGGCGGGGCCAAGCATATTTTGAGGGGGGACCGTGCCTCCCCTCTAGACACGCCCCTGCGAGGGGGGCCCCACTCCCTACCTCGCACCGGGCCCCGCGTCAGCTAAGGACGGCCCTGGTGGTGTCACGGGTTGCTACTGTGAGGAGCACGGAACGAGGAAACCAGGAGACCAGGAGTACAAACAATGAGTTTTTCAATCGCGGGGAATCACATGTAGCACAAGGAAGTTGACATAAACAAACAATACCGGACAACACTAACTCAAAGGACTCAAACTTTTAAACACAGGATGACGAGGGACTAAGGAGACACACCTGGGATCACTGGAAATTACACATGGGAAACACCTGGGATGAAATTAACAGAATACGCGGGAGACAGAAACTGGGTCACAGAAAAACACACAAAACACGGGACAGAGTCTGACATAACGCCCCCCTCCGGAAGGCGTGTCCTCACACCATATAACATCCAACGGGGAGGGGGGGGGGCGCTCTGGAGGTTCCTCAGGATAGACTCGGGACAGTGGGCCTCCAGAACAGTACCCCTTCGGGGCGCCATGGCGGAGCATGGGACTCGGGAGGCCAGGGCGGAGGAGGGGACTCGGGAGGCCAGGGCGGAGCAGGGGACTCGCGAGGCCAGGGCGGAGGGGGGGACTCGGGAGGCCAGGGCGGAGCAGGGGACTCGGGAGGCCATGGCGGAGCCCTTCATGGGCTGAACTCGGGAACAGGAGCCATTCCTGGGCTTAACTCTGAATCAGGAGCCCCTCCTGGGCTGAACTGGGGATCAGGAGCCCCTCCTGGGCTTAACTCGGGAACAGGAGCCCCTCCTGGGCTTTCGGGGAGCTGGCACTGGAGCGAGCTCTGGGGCTGGAGCCGACACTGGAGCGAGCTCTGGGGCTGGAGCCGACACTGGAGCGAGCTCTGGGGCTGGAGCCGACACTTGGAACAGGCACTTGAGGGCACTCTGGAAGGCGCTTACGAGGAGCGGGCACTGGGGGGCGCTCTGGAAGGCGCTTACAAGGAGCGGGCACTGGGGCTGGAACCGACACTGGGCCCACATGATCACTTGGTGGGCTAGCCACATTAACGTCCTTTGGGCTTGCCACATTAACTGCCGGCTGACTTGACTCGGGAACTGCCGGCTGACTCGACTCGGGAACTGCTGGCTGACTCGACTCGGGAACTGCTGGCTGACTTGGGACAAAACACGGGACAGAGTCTGACAGGTGGAGACATAACTAGAGTCCTCATGACAATCTGGTATTTTAAATCCTATTTTTTAACCTCAAAAAAAGTAAAATATAAATGAAGCAGAATAAAACTAGTTTTTACAAATGATCTCTTAGGACCTTACTGTAAGTTATGAATGAATCATCCAGTGCAGCAACAAAGCAAATTTTCGGTTTTATTCTCTAGAGAGTTTCAGCATGAGTAGGTTATCTGGACATTACTAAAATATCACATTAGGTGGAGGGACAAAGTCAATGTTAATGTACTTTGTTAATGCACATACTCCCTTTTTTCCTTTCCAAAATACATCCAGCACACAGAAACAGTTCAATTAGCCCAAAAGCCAAATGTGAGTGTGTGTCTGGCTGCCAGTCTTTCCATTCATAATAAGAAACACTGAGTAAACATCTATTCCATCTAGCCATGACTGCAGCTGATTGAGGTACATGCTCCAGAACACCACGGTTCTTGATGAAAATGGCCAATCATGTTCAAATTCACCTCTATACTGAAATCACATCTTTTTCCCAGCTGGGTCACAAGAACAATGCCAGCTGCCAGTACAGTACAGTCTAAAGTCAAGAGGCAAACAGATGGATAACAGTAGAGGCTGATGTCAAAGGTTGTGGGGTCAGTCCAAGTCTAAAGTATTTTGGCACAGATTCATCCAATTAGGCAGATGCCAACATACACTCACTGGGGCGGTACCTTTTCAAAAGGTACACTTTTGTACCTATTAGGTTCTATGTACACTTTAAGTACTAATATGTACTTTTAAGGTACCAAAATGGACCAAAATGCTGTAATCTGTTAATATGGGCACTGGAATACATATGCACTGCATTCATATGCAGTCTGAAACCACTGTGGCTTTAGAGCAGGGGTGTCAAACTCAATTCCTGGAGGGTCGGAGCTTTAGTTTAGATTCAACCCTAATTAAACACACCTTATCCAACTAATCAAGTCCTTCAGGCTTATTTGAAAACTACATATGCGTGTTGGAGCAGGGTTGGAACAAAACTCTGCAGGGCTCCGGCTCTCCAGGAATTGAGTTTGACACCCCTGCTTTAGAGACACAATGTAATGTGTTTTGCTAAAAGGAGTGTGATCAGCATTTTGACCGTCTAATCACGTTCATTGCTGATGTAACTGCATCATTGACTACATCACTCTCACTTAGCATGAAAGGATGGGTCCACCCACAGGATGTAGATGAGTTTGTTTCTTCATTAGAACAGATTTGGAAAAATCTAGCATTAC